AACATCCAAGGATGATTTTAAACAGCGGTAATGTAGTATAAGGGATTTTCTTTTCAAAATAGCTTCTCTCTATTAGAATAAGAACTAGAAAAAATGAATGAGGTGGATATATTATGCAACCTGAGCCTACACAATTTATTTTGCTACAAATTAACACTTAGTGCCAGAAAATGCTTTGAAGTTATGTGACCCACAGAAATTAGAAACTGTTAAATGGACCAGATAACACGTAAGGATACGTTTTAAACCAAACACAAAAATTAAGTGAACGTTTTTAGGAATTCAAGTTTAAGTTCACAATAATTTTTATCAATATGGTGACCAGCAAATTTACACTTGTTTGGAATGAGATTAAAATCACTGTTTAATCATTGTTCAAACTTTATAAAGTTTTCAAGTTGAATGCGTGATGTTTCAGTAACGTTCAGATACAGATTGATTGATTATTCAAAATGAAATTTGACCCAGTTACCTTTTTGTTCTCTTCTGTTCTTGAATTGTGACAAGAATACGTAATAAAATGTAAAAGAACACACTCTCAATTCAAACCATAACTGAATCAGCCCCATCATAATATGAAGATGGCAAAGTTTATTTTGTTTTTAAACCACTAGATTTGAGAGTCCAGGATTCTGTACAGTTAGACAAGAGAGGCTACCCAACTCTATCAAACCTATCCAATTAAATAATTAAACAATCAATTCCTAATTAATAATTATTTATCTTTATACTTATATAGCACTTTTCTCGACAGTCCACTGAAAGCGCTTTACAGGTAATGGGGACTCTCCTCCACCACCACCAATGCGCAGCATCAACCTGGATGATGCGACGGCAGCCATAATGCGCCAGAACGCTCACCACACACCAGATATCAGTGGGGAGGAGAGCAGAGGAAGAAGCCAGTTCAGAGATGGGGATTATTAGGAGGCCATGATTGGTAAAGGCCAGGGGGAAATTTGGCTAAAATGCCGGGGTTACACCCCTACTCTTTTCAAGAAACGCCCAGGGATTTTTAATGACCACAGAGAGTCAGGACCCCGGTTTCACGTCTCATCCGGAGGACATTACAAAACTATTATAACAGACAATTATAACAATTGAACAATTGTAACAGTTACATCTGTGATTACAAAGACCAGAGAGTGGAATTAAGGTGGGGCATTACAGGCAGCAGTAGCTGATAGTCCTCTGGAAGGCTTAGGTTATACAGCTGCCGCGTCTTGAAGCTTCAGTAAACCCAGCGCATCAATAAATATTTTCTCAAGAAACGTTTGATCAATTAGAGGTGAGTTAATAATATAATCTGTCACACAGAATTCTGTGTCCACTGAGCCCCAGTGAGGTGAGAGGAGCAGCTCCACCTTCAGTCTGAATCACTGGGGTCACTGCTGCCAGATGCACTGACAGTCATCCGGAGATCCTGGCTCACGTGTCAGTATTCAGACGTCAGACTGTGACTGATGTTATGACTGGCAGGTTCTCAGGCTGCTTCTAACAAATGCTTCACTAACAATTTCATTGTCTGGGAAGTTTGCAGTCACCTTGAGCTGCAGCTCAGTTAGCATTTCAACCCATTCTACACAGAAATAACAGCGAACCTCTCATCCTTTACATTTCCACAACTGGAATATAGATATCTCTGTGAGCATGGTGGTTGTGAACAGTCCAGGTAAGTATGTGAATCAGGTGCGAACTTGTAATTTACTTCACTGGGACCTATGTCGAGTCCCACACAGCACATTTGTTCCTAATACTAAATTTAGGGGGTAAGGGGTGCTTTCACATTGCAAAAGGTTGTCTTAAAGCTGTTTAAAGACAAATGGTGTAAACTCAGGACTTCAAGAACCACCAACAGACACAGATCTTATAAGTAAAATCTTATAAGTAAAACTATATTTTAAACATGCAATTTTCATACTAAATCAATCAACAAACGAGAGGCTGGAGAAAAGGCAAGTTGTTAGTTAAGTCTGCGGTACAAATGTTAGTAAAGGTGTTGTTTTGATTAAATCACAACAATTGTGATATCTGAGTAGCAGAGTGCGGAGTAAGATCATAAGACATTACAAACGGGACAAGCGTATATTACAAACATAATACAATCGGGAGAAGAACATCTTACTCATTATGTTGTTGGAAGTAGGGTTTGCGTATCTCGTTACAGACCACTAAAGGCCCTTGTGTAAAAGGTGTTGATTTCAGTCCGCTTACAGAACAGCCATACTATCTTAATCGTATTGACAATCAACATCTTTAGATTGATGTGTTATAATAAATATAATAATACCTAAGGACACTTAAAAGTTTAGTGAGGTAATAAAGACTGACAGTGCCTCTCGTACAGCTTAATTAATAATTTACCGCTGCCGGAGGAGTGCCGAAAATTCAAGGTTTTCACTAGGCACTCCCGTGTGATGTCACTGGGTGGGGTGTGCTGGGAGCCTGTTCCGTTTGTTTTACCTTTATGTGGGACGGAAGTGGGGTAGGGGGCGTGTCATGCCTAAACGCCAAGGTGAAACAACTGTCTTGAGTCAGTAGAGATCTGCTCACCAACCCGATGCGGTGGTTTTTTGTTATTTTTATCTGCAAGCGTCACCGCGGGACATTGAAAAGGAAACTGAGGTCCTTATTTCCTGGGTCCCGTTCGTAAGCGCGGGGGAACCTTACCTGGGATAAATGCCTACTGATCTCTCTCGCACTGTCAAGATGCAGGCGTCCGCGGACGTGAATCCTACCAGGATCTTGGAGAAGGGTCCGAGTTACCTCCGAAAGCAGATGGAGCTGGAGGGGGACGCGAAGGGGCGGCAGAGCGCGGTGGAGAGGCTGGCGGCAAGCAAAGCCAAGTACGTCAAAAGCCAACAGGTGGTCGGCTCGAAGCAGGAGCCCGTGATCACGCTGAGCTCGGCTTCCGAAAGCAGCAACGGCTCCTCCATTCGTAGCTCGAACCGGAGCACCGGTAATAGGGACGTGAAAGGAAAGCCCGACGACGACCCCCAAGCGCGAAATGCGAAACAGGCTGAGAGCAGAGCCCCCGCGGACGGCTCGTCCATTGTACGGCGGAGCAGTTCGAAAAGGCAGAGGCCAGATTCTCTGGTCATGTACAGACATAATCTGGTAAGGGGGCCAGCCAGTGAAAACTCAAAGGGGGGTTTAATGCGCAGGCTGTTCCTCAGCACGCTGCGAGACAAGTCAGTTGCACTACCCGAGGCGCAGGGAAAGGAATGCGCTCCCGGAGCGCACCTGGACCCCTTGGCCAGCGAGGCGACGCCGCCAGGCTGCCCCAGCAAGCCTCGCTCGGCGACGTCCGGAGGGGCACCGGCGGTGGTGAGGACGTGTGTTCCCGACACGGACGCGGAAAGCGAAAGGGCACCCAGGAAAGGGGTGTTCCGGTCGCATTCCGATATAAGTTCGAGGTACTCGAAGAACTTCTCCGAGTTCGAGACGTTCTTCAAGTACTGCGGGCTGGACGGCGACGTGATCGAGTCTCTGGGCAAACAGAACTTCACTGCGCGCTCGGACGAGGTCTCGGTGCGGGTCCGCAGCGTCAGCGTGGCGACGTCGGACGACGGGTTTACCAGGACTAGCGGCGACAGCGACGGACTCCTGGAGGTGGAGGTCAAGGAAAAGAATCAGAGCGGGACGTCGGTGATTGAGCGCAATGCGAGGATTATAAAGTGGTTGTATAGTTGCAAGAACGCTAATGAATCCGGCAAGGTGTTACGAGATCTCCATTAGAATAGTATTACGCCGCAACTGGTCAGTAGTGTTTTAAATTTATATTTATAAGGCTGATTTGCAAGTTGTTTTTATTGGAGGTATTTATAACAAACCAGTTTCATTATACAGGATTCTGCTGCTGTTAAGTTAAAACCCAACTTCAAGAACATGCGGTCTTCTCTTATTTCTATTAAGATGTTGTGTACAGATAATGGGGCAAGTGAATACTTAATCGATTTCTGGTCAAGTTTTTATCCACATTTTAAAAATAGTGATAGACTGCTTTTATATTTTATTATTATAAACTGTTATACTTTGAAATGTCATTAAACAAAGATTAAAAACTCCACCTTGTTCCTTTTATCAATTACGAGACGAGTTAAGGTTAGATGATAGAAAATAAATGTCTTGAGCAAATAAATGTAGCCTGAAGCGTTACCGCGCTTTCTTCGCTCAGCAGGTATAGAAATGTTACAGGATCAGAGTAAGATCACAAACTCGCGGAAGTACTGTACAAATCTGGAATAACAGTAACATCGTGTTGAAGGGTAAACTGTTTGCAAAATACATTTTATGAGGGATAACAAAAGGTCCGAAACGTCCGATCTGAAATGTTTAGATTTTAAGCTTAACAAAAAATACGTTGGCATCAGAGTGAATAACGCTTTGGATATGTACTGAAAGAATCCTTAAATTACTTTCAGCGATGCAGAAATAAGGTGTTTAGACAACGTATCGCCGAATTCTGCAGTATTTTGCTTTGAAAAAATAAATATAATCATGCTCAGATCACAAATGTTATGTAATTCCAATTTTCCGATGTAACTTTGCAAATGTATATATTATTCCAAATGTATAAGAAGGCATTGGAATTTATGCGAGACTAAACTTTGTTGTAACCTACATGCAACTTCAATACTGTAAATCAGGAAAGAGTGCGAAATCACAACTGAAGCATGATAGTATAGTACAGTACAGTACATGCATTTTTATGAACAAGGGTATCATTCATTCTTTTGCCTGTATCACATCTTTCGTTCTCTCTGTAAAAGAAAACACCATTGAACTGGGCCCTCTTACCATAAAGTCGAATATATACGCCTGGCGATATACCGGTCACCTCTGTCAAAGGCACCGTGCGGGAAAAGCATCATATCGTCCCTTGAAAAGCATAACGTGTCAAAAACACCAGTCGGCGCTTAAAGTAGTGGATCTGCCACTTGCAGATTAGGCAGTGTTTTTCCCCTGGCGAAGTGTCAGAGCGGTCATACTGGAGAGTGATGCACTTAAAAACGTGCTACAGTATGTCAGTGAACCAATTCGGCTATACAGTGTGACTGTGTTTTCTCGTTTACTGCAAGCCGTGAAATAACACCCGTGTCAGCTGCCCATGTCTCCTTCAGCAACAATGAGATTTCAAATGGAAAAATTAGCATTGGGGCTGTATCAGCAGACTGCTTATTTTCTGTGCCTTCAGGTATATGCGTGCAGAGGAACAAACATGAATCACAAGGTGCAATTCCGTGTGATGTAACTTTTTTGTGTGTTTGCTTTGTTATTGCGCAACATATTGGGTACTGGATTTGCTGCTTGTTTGGAAAGATAGCTTTTCAGTTGACCCGTGTCCTGTCTGTGCAGTTTTATTTACTAATACCAGTGGATATTTTAGTCTGTGACAGTCTACTGCATGGGTAAGTGCGTGTATTTTCCCATTGCTAGTGGTTTAAATTTTCGTAAGGTGTTAATATTTTTTTTCTTTTTCCTTCTTCATTAACAATACATTCAATTGTAAAATGGCATGCAGTTTTACCCTAATTGTAGATTATTTTGTTAACGAGACGTGCCGAAAGCAGGTTGTCTTTAAATAGAATCTGAGAGAACTTAGAAAATGTGTCATTAAAGACATATGGGATCCATGGTTCAGGAAACTCCCAGTGACTGAATAAGGCTATATAATGCTTGTACAGTAGTTTGTTTTACTTTTCTAATTAATTGAACACAAATGATCAGTTGTGTTCTTACATGTGTGAGAGTATTAGTCTTCCATTGTTTTCTTCTTTTGTTATGATGAGCCTTGAAAGAAAATCTGACAGAAAAGGTATCCCTAATGATTAAGCCTTTTAGCTAGAAACAATTGTGTGCACAGGCCTTTTAAGACAATAAATACCCATAGTTGCCCAATAAATAATAAATACACAAATACAACTGTTGCGCAATGTTGCTGTTTTTTTCTTTTGATGATTATTCTTTTTTAGTCACTCTTTTGATTTAATATTTATGAATCGAAATAGTTTCAAAATTCAGACGGCTCATTTATAATGTCTGATACTTTTGATTAAGACTCTTAAAATGCCTACTCAAAATACAAATGGTTAAAAAAACATTCCTCTATGTAAATCCATTTTAAATGATTCAGAGCGTAACTGTAGGATATGCCGATGTCAGAAAACTTGTTGGCTTCACTTTGGAGAATAATCTGCACCATTATAGTTCCATACAGAAAGTTTCCAGAGGAAGCTTGGAGGTAAAGTGAATTTATGTTGTGTTCATGTTCATTTTATCATGTCCTGGAGCCTGATTTTAAAGCATGGCCTTCATGTGAACCTTCTATGGTGTGTTATCAAAGCCCATCATGTAATATATCCTCTTCTGAAGTAGTGCTGAGGTGAAAGGCTAATCTTTGAAAGGGAAGTGCTTGCAATTCCACATACTGTAGCTGACAACTCCTCCTCCCTCAACTCCATCCCTCCAAGGCAGGGCTGAAATGTTTAAGGAAGAGGGTCTTTTGACAACATGATATGAATATATCTATGGATATTGGATATTGTGCTTTACCTCCACATACCGGCATCCTGGTACTGTTTGTTATAACAGAAAAAGTCTTTAATTCTTTGAAACAATGCCCTGTTTATAGTGTCATTGGAAAACACTGAACTTGCTTCACTGATTGGCTACAGTAATTACAACAGATGACAACTGCAGTGACTTTGAAAGCTCAAGGGCTGGTAGATTGTTTTCCAGAAGATAGGCATGTCTGATGTCCAGTATATTTGCATTTTGGATGTTACCACAGTCACTGTTGGGTCTATTCAGAATAACTAAAAGTGTTTAGCTGTTGAAAAGATTATATTACATGTAAGATTTACTTCACAGCAGAATAAGGAAAGATAACTAGGGAAATGAACCATTTAAACTTTGAAACTTGTAATATAGTGTAATATTATTTACTATTTGTTTCTTGCATGAAAAAAACCATGCGGTACTGAATCGAACGAGTTCTATGTTTCACATTTGGTGAGGGATTTCATTTTCTGTAGAACACACAGTAACGCTTCTTTACTTTTTTAGATGATGTCAGTATAGGCCAAAGAATCAAGCTGTGGCTGGCTCCATGTTGAAAAATGCATGCCTGCAGTCCTATCGGGTTACAAGGCATACAAAAATTTGAAAGGCGCGTTTTTTTCTTTTTAAGTTTACATGAAATCGTAGACTTTAAGCTAATGACCTGTGGGAAATTTACTGGAAAAGAAGACAAGACTAAAAGGCTGGTGTAACAAAGAGCACCTGTGTTGCAATATCAGATTTATTAATTTAAAAAAGTAAAAACCAATGGAGCTTCCCTGCAGACGTGCTGCACATACAGTACATTGTGTGGTGAACAATTGTTTACAGAAGGATCAAGTAGATTCTTTTCAATGACACGGACTTCAGACATGCAATGGTTTATTTAATACACTTCTGAGTGAAAATGAGTTACCTTTTTGTTATTTTCACATTTGTTTTGGTCATAAGCCAAAACCAATACATAAAATATGCTTTTTAAAGGATTTACCACTTACCCACAGAGCTTTGAGAATGCATTTTTGCTGTGCTCATATCTTGCCTTCTAATTAAAAAGGAACTAGTGCGTTTAGTTTTATTGTGTTAAACATAGTTTGTGTGATATATAAAATACAGCTATATATGACACAACCCCCCACGCCTTAAAATGTAAACTACTTTGTAGTTTATTAAGATTGATTTCTGAATATTTGTTTTTGAGAAAAGCAACTGCCCTTTTCAAAACAATTTTGCATTTTACTCTTTTTTTACTGAGGTTAAATTCGGTTTTTGTTTTACTACTGTATGTGTTAGAGGAAAACTCCAACTAATAATCATTGTGGTAAAGCCACACTGTGAAACATTAAAACAATTTGAAGTGAATAAAATTTGTAGGTGGGCCCAAAATTGTATTGGTTAATGCTATGTAATGCAGAACCAAAATAATACATCAGTAAACTTTAATGATTAAACGTTAGATAACACCAAAACATTTTTTTAATGTAATGCCTCAACGTTTTGATGATACTTTACCCAGAAGTAAGACTTGATACATCTTGGTTTTTCTTATATTAAAAAAAGCTGGATTTAGCACATAAATGAGAACTTTGTTTTGCTTGTTTTTTTTTACAAGCAATACAAATCCACAACACTTTAATGAACTGTAACTTGGCAACTAGAGCTTGTCCTAATTCACCCCACAGATATTTCTCTATCAGTCCTTCCTTTAATGTTGGTCATTGAAGTTTCATGGTCAATACAAGAAATGGATTAATTGATTTTAGCTGGTTTAGCACTGGGGGTTTGCAAAAGCATTGCCTATTCAAAAGGTAAATACTGTCTTTTTTACATTTTAATACATTATAGGAGCTAATCATCTGCTTGCCTTTGATAATGAAAGCTCCAGGTTGTGACTAAACCAGTAAATAGCATCACATTTTATTTTACCTACTGTCACATACAGTACAGGTATTGCTAAATGTGCTTCTTTTGAAAATGAAGATCTCACCACCATAGGTTTATAGATCTGCTCCTTCCAGCTGAGGGAACCGATTCTGGTTTGAGTTGAGATTTAATGTGTTTGCTGGCCTTCATGTCATGTTGGCCTGGCAATGGAGTAAAAGTGCTTGCTTCTACCTACTGTACATGACCAAGTAATTATCTGGGATCCAAGACCCATCGCTGTTAATTTTGCTATTCAGTGTTTCTGCTTCCTCTTGTTGAAAAGCTACAATTACATGGTCTGACTTACCATTTCCATGGTGATGATACTCAAATGTATGTGCAGACTAATCCAGGCACAGAGGCAGGTGTTTCAGTACTCTCTGATTTCATGTATGATACAAAAGGCAGAATGAGGGCTGGCACAGCAGCGCAGTGGTTAGCATTGCTGCCTTGCAGAGCTGTGGCCCTGGGTTCGGTCACAGATGTGTGGTTCTACTGTCTCCGCGCATTGTTTGTATTTGATCTCCCCATGTGCGTGTGGGTTCCAGCTGGGTACTCTGGTTTCCTTCCACAGAGGAAAGTATATCTGTATCTAAAGACAGACGGGTAGGCTAATTGGCTTTTGGGAAAACCAGCTCTGGTGTGAGTATGTACTGTATGTGTCTGTGTCTGTCTGGCCTCCGATGGACTGGTGTCCTGTCCAGGGTGTACCCTGCCAGGTGCTTGTTCCTACTCAGGATAGGCACCGGCTCTCCTGTGACCTCTAATTGGATGGAAAGCAGTTAGGAAATCGATGGCTGACACATACTGTATTACATCTTAATTATTATGAGAATGAAGGTTATGTTATAGTGTTCCTCATATCTGTTATGTAAATCAAAACACCGTAATTTGTTGACATTACAGGTAATGTAAGCACAATGTGAATAGCCACATAAAATCACCTTTGTTCATGTTTAAGGTTGTGCATATCTTAATACAATTTAGAAAAACTTCAATAATCCATTAGGATTTGGTCTGTCCATAGCCATATTCTTTAGCGACGTGAAGAGGTGCCTATTGTTGGTAGGATCCTGCCACTGATAGTTTTGGCTGACCACAATGGCAACTAAATTGTGGGCTGTTTCTTGATAATGCTCATACATTTCTTTGGTTTCACGTTAAACACATTTCAGGTCTTTTTCAAAAGGATAAGGAGCCACACTTCATCGATATACAATACATTTGACAACAAAAGCAGCAGAAGGAAGTCTGGAATTTTCCAGTTATTGAGTCAAAATGTGATTATGTAAATACACAATGAGAAAATAATGAAAGTAAATGTCTTTAAAATCGTTCCATTTCAAAATGGACTTTAATAAATCCCACATACTAATACCATGGGCGTGATTGTTTTACCAATTTAGTAAATGACTTGTGTGCCTCAAGAAGGGCAGTTATAATCATAAGAAAGAAAATGTCTCTAGAAGTACAAAGACTATCCCCAACAAATGATTCTGAAATAAAGATTTTTCTTAGAATTTCTAAATCACTAATAAATACATTTATCTTCTTCAAATACTGCTCTACCTGTCCTTCAGTTCATAGTTTCTAAAACATGACCGAAAATGCCTGCACCTGTACACATCACTAATTCTACCAGTAGCTGAAGATTAAATCTTGCTTGAGTAACATATGGTTTAATAGTGCTTCTAAAGATTAAAACATACTTCACTTCTAACCAGGGGCAATAAAGACCACACTAGTGTAGGCACTTTCCCAAAGGTATGATGCGTTTTGTTTTTGAAATGTGATTTGAACCACACACATTACCACATAATAAATCAGATTCTAAATAATTACGGTCCATTCACCATTTATTTACTTTCACAATATTACTGAAAGCCTGGGCTTATATATTCTCTTTAATATGCCAACGTTCATTTTT